TATGCTGGTATCCTCATTATCCATTCTCCTTCTTTTACATTTTTTTGTTATTTCTATGCTGGTATCCTCATTATCAATTCTCCTTCTTTTACATTTTTTTTATTTCTATGCTGGTTCCTCATTATCAAATTCCCTTCTTTTTACATTTTTTTTGTTATTTCTATGCTGGTATCTCATTATCAATTCTCCTTCTTTTACATTTTTTTTTGTTTTTCTATGCTGGTATATTCTTTTCTATGCTGCTTTTGGTGTCTATGCTGGTATCCTCATTATCAATTCTCTTTTACATTTTTTTTGTTATTTCTATGCTGGTATCCTCATTTATCAATTCTCCTTTCTTTTACATTTTTTTTGTTATTTCTATGCTGGTATCCTCATTATCAATTCTCCTTCTTTTACATTTTTTTGTTATTTCTATGCTGGTATCCTCATTATCAATTCTCCTTCTTTTACATTTTTTTTGTTATTTCTATGCTGGTATCCTCATTATCAATTCTCCTTCTTTTACATTTTTTTTTGTTATTTCTATGCTGGTATCCTCATTATCCATTCTCCTTCTTTTACAATTTTTTTGTTATTTCTATGCTGGTATCCTCATTATCCATTCTCCTTCTTTCTATGCTGGTATCCTCATTATCAATTCTTCTTTACAATTTTTTTGTTATTTCTATGCTGGTATCCTCATTATCCATTCTCCTTCTTTTACATTTTTTTGTTATTTCTATGCTGGTATCCTCATTAATGTTCTCCTTCTTTTACATTTTTTTGTTATTTCTATGCTGGTATCCTCATTATCAATTTCTTCTTTTACTTCTATCTGGTATCCTCATTATCAATTCTCCTTCTTTTACAATTTTTTTGTTATTTCTATGCTGGTATCCTCATTATCAATTCTCCTTCTTTTACATTTTTTTTGTTATTTCTATGCTGGTATCCTCATTATCAGTTCTCCTCTTTTACATTTTTTTGTTATTTCTATGCTGGTTATCCTCATTATCAATTCTCCTTCTTTACATTTTTTTTTGTTGTTATTTCTATGCTGGTATTCTCATTATCACTTCTTCTTTTACATTTTTTTTTTGTTATTCTATGCTGGTATCCTCATTATCAATTCTCCTTCTTTTACATTTTTTTTTTTTTTGTTATTTCTATGCTGGTATCCTCATTATCATTCCCCATTCCTGCAAGTGGTCTCAACCGCAGCTGACCGGCGCTCTCAGCCGCTGAGGAGCCAGGCGAGGGCGGCGCGGATCGGCCCGGGCGGAACGGCCGGCGGGAGAGCCAGGTCAGGTGGCGCCAGGCGAGGGGAACCGACCGTTGTGTCTCTGCTTGCGAACAGGAAAAACAAGTTCTGGGAGACGTTAAATTTCCCGTGTGGGGGTCGGGGGGGGGGGGGAGTGAGGGGTGAGGAGGAAGAAGAGGCGGAAGGGAAGGCGAGGAGCTGGGGGAGGGGGGGAGCAGGGGAAGGGGAGGAGATAAGGTGTATAAGGGGAGGAGGAGGAAGGGGGAGGGAGGGTGGTGAGGGGGATTGAGAGTAAAGCGTAGGGTAAGGGAGGGAGGGGGGGAGAGGGTGTGGGGAGGAGAAAGGAGAGGGGTGGGTGGGGGGGCAGTGAAGGGGGGGGGGTGGGCCTTGCAATGCGGACGAAATGCCTTTGCAAATGCACGACCCGGACATTTGGCAAAAAAAAAAAAAAGATTTCTCATGTGTTTGTCTATTTCCTTCTAACATAATTAATCGTGATTTTCATCATGATATAGGAGTGATCGAAGTAATGACGAAATAGATATCTGCTATCATCATGGCCATTATCATCATTGTTATTATAATTATCATTATCATTATCATAATTATTCTTATTACATTTCTTATTCACTTTAACATGATCGTTATCATCATTATTTCTAATATTATCATTATCATTGTCATCTTTATTTCTAATATTATCATTATCATTATCATCATTATCATTATTTTCATCATTATTATTATGACTGTGATAAACATTATTATCATTGTTACTGTTGTTGTTATTACCACCACTACTACTATTATTATCATCATTATTATTATGATAATTATTATCATTATCATTGTAATCATTATTATTATTATTATTATTATTATTATCATTATTATCATCATTATTATTATCAATATTATTATCACTTTTATTATCATTGTCGTTATCATTGTTATCATTATTGTTGTTATTATCCTTATAACTATCATCATCATCATTATAAATATCATTATTATTGTTATCATGATCATAATCATCACTACCATCGTTATTTTCATTATTATTATCATGATTACCATTATCATTGTCATCACAGATATTATTGTTTCTGTTACAATTATTATTATCATTGCCATTATCATCAATATTAAAATAATTATAAATTTCATTATCATTATCATTATGATCATCCTTACCAATATTATCATCACTATTACTCTCTTTATTACTCGTAGTTCAAATACTGTATTACTCTCTTT